TTAGCATATCCTTGCTACTAATATTTTATAAAGTGAATTATTATTTTTGTATATAAAATGGCTTGGTGAAGTAATTGTAATTTTATAGAGGAAGACATAAAAACACAAAGAGCATCAATAACTTACTCAAGTCATGGGGAGAAGCAGAGGTAGAATTCAAATCCAGTATGATTTCAGAATTTATACTTTTTACTAATATATGCCTGCCTAGAATTTATGATTTTATTAACAAAAGGCAGCACTGTAATTCCTATTCTAAGAGTGCACCATAAGTCCTATTCTCCTTCCTTCTAAAACCCAGCTGTCTGTTTGTTGCCCAGTAGTTTCTTCTTTACCTAAAGCATTTACTAATAAAAGGAGATTTTCTAATATGTCTTAACCATCACTCTATACAATCTGTTAGTACTTGTTAAATTTGTCCTATAGTTCCAGTAACAGACCTAAAAGTTATTATGATTCTTATGTTAAAAGCTGAGGGAACAAAGTCTTCAATCCATAAAGTAACCAAAGCAACCATTATAATTCAAATAATTATTGTGCATTTGAAGCAATCGACCTAAGAAAATACACTGAGATATTTATTTGTTTGTTTTCTGATTTAGAATGATAGTCACAGTTTGTGCAAGGAAGCAGGACTACTTTGTAATCATTAATACTTATTATTATTTCAAAGCTTTCCCAACATAAATTCTTCAATTTAATTCAGATATCACTTTAAAAACTCTTTCCTAAATGTTTGATAAATTAGTATATAATGTATAAATGAACTCTTGATAGACCGCTCTCCTCACACAAATGAAGAACTTGTTTATTTTTCTAATTAATGTGATCTGCCAAGTAGGAAAACAAATAGAACAGTACTTATACCTATAGGCATAATGTATATTTTCATCTAATAACTACTGTGTTAAAAAATTAAGTGGATTGCCTTCCTTTTCTTACAGATCTCATGTGTGTTATATATGTACAAACAAAATTTAAATGTATATGTGTTATTTATAAACAAAATCAAGCAGCTGAAAGTTAAGAACTTCTAACTGTGTCCTTTTAAGTTTAAACTATGTCTGGATCCTACAGTCAGTGTGATTTGAAATTCAAATTTTATACAGTAATAGGAATTTTAGACATCTGTCAAGTAAAAATTTGTTTCTCTATTCTCAAAGTGAAAATATTGGTAGACCGAAAACTCATACTAAAAGTAAACAAGAAAAACACAATTTCCAACATTCAGTAAGGTACTGGACAAACAACCATTGTACCTCCTGAGAATGATAGTATGTTAGAGTTTAATCCAACAATTGACATTATACTTGAACCCATGACCTTTTATCCAAAATCATATGTTCACCAATATGGAAAAACATGTAATAATATAAGAACAATTTCACTCAGAGTTGCTAAGTCCATTCTGAGTCATAAGATACATCTGACTTACATATGCTTTTTAAAAAATCATTGCTAAAAATTTTAAATATCTATTTTAACAATGAGGTTAAAAAAATGCACCTAGAGGAAAAAGAATACACACAATTTCCAATGATAAAGATTAACAAATCATTCACCTGTGTGAATTATAGTCCCTTATTCTGATAAAAGTCTACTAAGTTTTATTACACAGTCATTTCAGAAATATACCATTGTATCTAGGTTACTAGATAGACATCAAGAAGCTCTTAGAGGAATTAACTGAAACTGGCATAGTGAACTGTTTATAGACTCTGGAAAAAAAAAACTTAAAGAAAATCATCTCAGATAACCTTGTCTTTTTCTAAAGTACTCAGTGATAATTAATCATGATTTTTTTAAAAATTAAAATTTCTTCTTATAATATTTAGTAGATATTAATTTAAAAATGTATAAAGTTACAGTTCTTTAGTCAAAGAAAAGAAAAATACATAAAGGTGGATTCTTGCTTTTTAATTCTTTCCTGGTTGTTCTCAAAATCATTCATGCGATACACTGCAACAGATACCTATTATTGGACATTGGGACAATAGCAGTAATTAAAGCAGATGAAAATTGCTTAGAACTTTTAGAACTTATCCTTTAAAATCTTTCAGAACTTATGTTCTATTAGGGGTAAAAACAGACAAACATACAAATTAAATCAAATATATAATATGCCACATGACAGCAAGTACTTAAGACGAAATTAATGCAGAGAAGGAAGACAGAAATTAGTAAAATAGAAGCTGAGTTTTAAATATAGTCATAAAGGAAAAGACCTCAATGGAAAAGGTGATATTTTAGCAAAGACCTAAAGGAAACGAGGCAAAGCACTATAAGAACACCTAACTGATGAGCAGTCCAGGCACTGGAATGTCACATGCAGACTCTAAGGTCAAAACGTTAACTGTTGTATCTGAAGAACAAAGAGACAGCATGGCTGAGCCAGTAAGGAAGAACTATGTAATAAGAAATGAGTTTTGAGTGTGATAATCTGGGGTCACATCATGTATAGAATCTTGTAAGTCACTGGAAAAAATTGGTTTTCAATGTAGATAAAATGAGGTGGTTTTGAGCAAAGGAGTAACATGATCTTACATGATCTTTTCAAGAATCCCTCTGGCTTCTCATTTGATGCCAGATTAAAGGAGAACAGATTCAAAGGGGGAAATTGTTTGTTGTGAAGTAACAGTTGCTGATGAGAGGACCAATATAGCAGCAGCAGTAGGAACATGTTAAGTTGCAACTGGGTTAATGATCGCTAATAGCCAATAACAAAAGTCAGGAGATATGAAAGTGGTCCCAGAATGCCAAAATATATAAATTTAGAGTAACACCAAAGGAATCAGAATATTTCAAATTTAGCCTTCATATTTAAAGGTTTACATAACTAAAACATATTGGACCTAATATTTATTAATCATATCCCACACCAAATTGTACAACAGAAACAAAAAGTAAACAGGCCTTAGATAAATATATTTTAAATATTTATTTCCTGTAGCTTATCTTCTAAGGGGGGCGGGGAGAGACTAATATACTAATATTTAGTATCCTTCAGATTTCTATCAAAGCACTGCTATTAGCAGAAGGGGCTAGGAATATATACAACTCTAATCTTGCTACAGTTATGCAAAAAAAAAAAACTGAGTCTCGATCATATGTAAGGCACTAAGCTAATTGCTGCGTATATAGTGATGAAGAGAGCCAAACACAAACTGTTAAATTGTGGGGACAGATCATAAATAAAATGTGCTTACAACTATAAACTGTGGTCAGTACAATGAGAAAATAAAAAAGGGGATTGCTCTCAGACTGAGACTATACAGGTACTGAGACCATAACATTTAAGCCAACATAAAGTTTATCTAAAATCTTTACCTATTTAGTTTTTAATTTGAAGAAATGCAAACCTTAACTACATATTATATAGTTACCATACAAACCTGAATTTTTCAAAGGTTCTCTACCTTTCCCCCTTAGTTTTTAATTTGCCAGTTATGAAGATTACTATATTCTCTTAGTAAGGAAAACATTTGATGTTATTTTTTGTAAGTAAGTATTCCTAGCTAATATATTATTTATAGCCACACTCAGAAATATATTTTGAGCTCTTCAGAAATTTTGTGAATTCTCAAATTAACACTTTAACTAACTAAAAACATTCTCATTAAAGCAAAAATCCTCACCACAGTTAGAATGGCTATCATCCAAAAATCAAAAAATAATAAATGCTGGTGAGGATGTGGGGAAAAAGGTTCCCTAACTCACCGCTGGTTGGAATGTAAAATAGTGCAACCATTATGGAAGGCATTAATTGGAGGTTACTCAGAAATCTGAAAATTTATCTACCAAATGACCCAGCCATTCTGCTCCTGGGAATTTACTCAAACAAATTGCAACCAGCATATGAAAGTTATTTGTTTCCCAATATTTACTGCAACTCAGTTCATAGCTAGATATGGAATCAACCCAGATGCCCACTGAATGACAACTGAATAAAGAAAATGTGGTATATATACACTATGGAATATAATGCAGCCATTAAAAAAAAAAGAATGAAATTCTGTCTTTTGTAACAAAATGGATGCAACTGGAAATCACTATGCTTAGTAACATAAGCCCAAAAAAAAAAAAAAAAAAAAAAAAAAAAAAACCCCACAAATATCATGTTTCCTCTGATATGTTGCAGCTAATATGGAATACAAAAGATATATATGAATGAAATGGACACCTTGTAATTTGATTGCTGCTTTTAGCCCTTGTTTATATTCCTGTGGAACTGTACTCTTTCTATCTTAACTCACTGAATATTATGGTTATTGGTGTGTTAAGCCTGTGATTATACAGTAGACTGAAATTATGATTTTGCAAAAATTAACAAAAAAGAAGGAAATAAGGGAAATGAGGGAGGATGAGAGAAAAGAAAGGAAAATAAGGGAATCATCTCAGAATTACATCTATAGAATATACAAAATCTGTTTCTTTATATTAACAAATTTTTTTAAAAAAATTAAGTTTATGGACTCAAGGACTGATAATAAGAAACATCTCAAATTTTATTAAAAATATTATCAATAGTACTCTCATTTCTCAGTATCCCAATATTGTATATTCCCATACTTAGTGGCATGTAATATTACTTAACATATCAGTTTATCAAAGTTAATATCCCATTTTATTTAGCAGACACCGCTATGCAAAGTAGCCACCAAAGGCAAGGGATGGGACACTTTAGATATTGCTATTAACACAAAAAGTTCTAGAAAGTCATGTGACCTATAAAAATAATGCAAAGTATTGTTTAATTGAAAAAAAAATGACCTAGCATGTAGGAATTAAAATGTATATAAACTTGCCACATGCCTATTTTCACATTTCTTTAAATAACAGAATGCCACCTATGCAAGATAGTTATCGCCACCCCTCTTAGATTTTTGGAAAACCTCACACTGAGAAATCTTCTCTTTGCAAGTGTAAATTACAGCTTAAAATTACACTGTTACTATAGGAATATTTTAAGTAACTCATTTTTCAAGTAGATAGTAACTTACCGGAAATGTAGATGATCTTTTGATCACTTCTTTGACCAAGTGAATTGGTCACTTTACAAACATAAACACCAGAATAATTGAAAGTCAGTGGATGGACAAAATGAAGAGTGTTGTCTGAAGCCAATAAACCATCAGGCCACTGTCCATCTAACCTAAATTTTAAAAAAGCATGAAATTATAAGTATCTCCACATTGTATTTATTGACAGTTATTTAAAATAAGATATTACACTTTTGAGATGTTAGTGAAAGAACAAGTTATCTTTCAGATAGAAATCACTGTGAAATGAAAGCATATAATTAATACATTTACATTTTAATAAAGACAACCTAAATGACAAAACCCATTAAGAATACCAATTCCTTTTTAACATGTAGTAATGTTTTAAAAATTTATTTGAGAAATAGAGAAGGGAAGGGAGAAGAAGGATAGAAAAGGGGTAAGGGAGAGAAGGGAAGGAACAGGAGGAGAGGGGAGGGAAAGGGAGGGGAGGGGAAGGAGGGTTAGGTTAGGTTAGGTTCACACCCTAAATACTCATGAATGACAGGCTGGGATAGGGGCAAGACCAAAGCCAGGTGTCAGGAATACAATCTAGGTCTCCCAAATGGAAGGCAGTAATCCAACCATCTGAGCCATCACCACTGCCCTGCAAGGGTCAGCACAACAGGAAGCTGGTATCAGGAGCTGGAGCTAGGAATCAACGCAGCTTCTCAGATACAGAATGTGGGTATCTGGACTGCTATCTAACCCAGAAGGCCAAATGCTCACTCCCCACCCATTCTTTCAAAATATTAATCTACATAAGTATAGATAGGCTAACATAACAGAATGAGAAAGAAAGTAAAAAATGTATGATGTAAAATAGTTATTTTCAGAAAACTGGAAATTAGAAAATAAGTCATTCGAAGATATAAACTAGTATCAAAGATTTAAGTGAATTATAAACCTTGAAAAGATAGATCTACAAATTTCTAAATAAAAAAGTTATCACATTTAAATATATAATGTTTCAGCACTTTCTATGACGTATTTCTAGAAAAGCTAATATAAATGTATACTGTACCCAATCCAAAAATATCTTCTAAAGCACCAAGAAAGGTCAATTAAAAGTTTATTTGTACAATAAACGGGGGGGGGGGGGTACATCAACAGGACTTTCTGAATCGCATGGGGCAAAATAGATAGTTAATTAATAAATAAGCAGAGGGGATACAAACCTGCCACAGAGTCATGAGAAATTTGCACAAAGAAGCCCAGGAGTCCAACAGAGACTGCGTAGGTCCTTGCCAAGGAAGCAAAAAAGGGCAGCTGAGGCACAATGAGGGCCTGGCAAAGATGCCGAATGAGGAGATTGGCACCAACCCCCCAAAGTGAACCAGGTGAGAAATCGAGAGTCCACGGAGCTGTGGATAGTGGTGGGCGGGGGAGCCTGGCAAACTGCATTTGAAGCTCCAAGTGGGAAGAAACAGACTGGCTGAATGGATTGAAAAAGAAAACCCATCTATTTGCTGCCCAAAACAAAAACATCTTACCAATAAAGACACATGCAGACTGAAAGTGTAAGGATGGAAAAAGATAATCCATAATAACAGAAACCAAGAAAAGAGCTGGTGTGGCTATCCTAATATCCAACAAAATAGACATCAATACAAAAACTATTAAGACACACAAAAAAGGACACTATAAAATGATGAAAGGATCAATTCAATGGGAAGATGTGACTATTATAAATTACATGTACCTATTACAGGGCAGCTGGCTATTTAGAAGAATTGTTAATATATTTAAAGGGAAATATAGACTCAAATACAATAGTAATGGGGGACTTCAATACACCACTTTCAGCAATGGACAGATCAACCAGACAGAAAATCAATGAGGAAACAACAGAGATAATCAACAGCAAAGACCAAATAGACTTAGCAGATACCTACAGAGCCTTCTACCCTACAGTCACAGAGTACCCATTTTTCTCTCCAGTGCATGGAACCTTCGCTAGGACTGAGCACATGCTAGGCTATAAAATGAGTCTCAGCAAATTCAAAAAAAATCTAAATCATACCATGCATCTTCCCAAATCATAATGAAATAAAGCTGGAAATCAACAACTCAAGAATCTCTATATCATATGAAAACACATGGAGAATGAACAACATGTTTCTGAATGAATAGTGGGTCATAGAAGAAATCAAAAATTTATGGAAACAAATGAGGACAATAAACCTGTGAGATACAGCAAAAGCAGTATTAAGAGGAAAATTTCTATCAACTGGTACCTACATCAAGAAGCTGGAAAGGCACCAAATAAAGGAACTATCTATACACCTCAAGGATCTAGAAAAACAACAGCAAATCAAACCCAAAACTAGAAGAAAATAAATAGAGAAGAAATCAACAAAATTGAAACAAAAAAATACAAAAGATCAGCAAAATGAAGAGATGGTTTTTGAAAAAATAAAACTGAAACACCATTGACACAACTAATCAAAAAAAGGAGAGAGAAGACCCAAATCAATAAAATCAGAGTTGAACAAGAAAATGTAATAGACACCACAGAAATAAAAAGAATCATCAGAAATTACTACAAAGAGCTGTATGCCAACAAACTGGGAAACCTAGTAGAAATGGATAGATTCCTGGACATATACAACTCTACCTAAAATGAGCCTTGAAGACAGAAAACCTAAACAGACCCATTACCAAGACAGAAACTGAATTAGTATTAAAGACTCTTCCAACAAAGAAAAGCCCAGGTCCCACTGGCTTCACTGCTGAATTCTACCAGACATTTAAAGAAGAACTAACTCCAATTCTTCTCAAGTTATTCAAAACAATTGAAAGGCAGGGAATCCTCCCAAATTCTTTCTGTGAAGCCAGCATCACCTTAATTCCTAAACCTGGAAAAGATACAACAGAGAAAGAGAATTACAGACCAATTTCCCTGATGAACATAGATACAGAAATCCTCAACAAAATTCTGGCCAATTCTGGCGGTTATAATCAAAGCAGCCTGGTACTGGTACAGAGGCAGATGGATAGACCAATGGAACAGGAATGCAACACCAGAAATCAATCCAAACATCTACAACTAACTTATATTTGACCAAGGCACTAAAACCAATCCCAGGAGCAAGGACAGTCTATTCAACAAATGGTGCTGGAAAACTGGATTTCCAAGTGCAGAGTATAAAGTAAGACCCCTACCTCACACCTTGCACAAAAGATCCACTCAACATGAATTAAAGATCTAAAGCTATGACCCGAACCATCAAATTATTAGAGAACATCAGGGGAATCCTGGGAGACATTGGCAAAGGCAAAGACTTCTTGGAAAAGACTCTTGAGGCACAGGCAGTCAAAGTGAAAATTAACAAATGAGATTACTTCAACTTGAGAAGTTTCTGTGTGACAGAACCAGTATGCAAAGTGAAAAGGCAACTAACTGGGAGAAATTATTTGCAAACTACACAACTGATAAAGGATTAATAACCAGAATCAACAAAGACATCAAGAAACTCCACAACAACAAAACAAACAACCCAGTTAAGAGATGGGCAAAGGACTTAAACAGTCATTTTCCAAAAGAGAAAATTCAAATGGCCAACAGACACATGAAAAAATGTTCAGGATCACTGTCATGGAAATGCAAATCAAAACCACAATGATTCACCTCACTCCAGTTAGAATGGCTTTCATATAGAAATCAACAAATGCTGGAGAGGATGTGGGAAAAAAGTTACCCTAATCCACTGTTGGTAGGAATGTAAACTAGTAAAGCCACTATGGAAGACAGTAAGGAGATACCTCAAAAATCTGAACATAGACGTACCATATGACCCACCATCCCACTCCTGGGATTTTACCCCAGGGAAATGAAATCAGCAAACAAAAGAGCTACCTGCACCTACATGTTTACTGCAGCTCAATTTACAATAGCTAAGACATGGAATCAACCTAAATGCCCATCAACCAAAGTCTGGATAAAGAAATTATGGGATATATACACTATGGAATACTACATAGCGGTAAAAAAAAATGCAGTATGGTCATTTGCAACAAAAGGGATGAATCTGGAAAACATCATATTTAGTGAAATACGCCAGACCCAAAGGGATAAATATCATACATTCTTTCTGATCTGTGACAACAAACAGAACACCTAAAACAAAATCTATAGAGGTGAAATTGACACTTTAATAAGCAAAGACTTGAACAGTCCTTATCTTGGATGTCAAGGAACAGTTTCATTTTCTTTGTTTTTTTCATCATTTTTTTCCTTCATACTATTTGTTGAACTCTTTACTTAACATATAATCATATGTATATCAAGGCAATTGAAAATAGATCTCAGTAAAAAATAAGAGTGGGAATAAGAGGAGGAGGAAGTTTTTAACTGTAAAGCGGTATAGTTCTGCATACATTCCTATGAATTTACTTCTAAAAGTAGTTTAAAAACTTGTCATGGGACTCCAAATCCCATTAAAATTTGGAGGTAAAAATGCCACCTTAATTGTTAAAGTGATCATATTAAATGTTAAAGTGAACATAGATATGATTAAGTGTTAAAGAGATCATATGAATAGCATCAAGTTCCTGGTAATAATAATAGATAGAATTAAAAAGAGAGAATGATCCAATATGGGAAGCAGTCCATGCAACAGAATCATTATAGAATAACAATTGCTTTAAGTAACATTCTGACCTCAGAATCAGCTCTTAAGGCATTCGGAGCTGGCTGAAAAGCCCATAAGAGCATTTCAGGCGTGGAAAGCCAAGAGACTGTGGCAAAAAGATGTCCTACATGAAGGATCTCTGTGAGTGAGATCTCAATGGAATGAAGGGGCCAACAAAGAAGGATGCACTTTTCTCTGAAGGGAGCAGAGAACTTCCACCTTGCTTATGGCCCTGTATAAATACTGATGGAGTTTGTGGTCTCAAAAGGCTTCCAGAGCCTTGACAGCTCATGACAAGAGCCTCAGGTAATCACTGACATCATAAATAAGAGTGTTAATTGTTAAATGTTACTCTGCACTTACTCCCCATGTAGGACCCCTGTCCTTATTGAGTTGTACTATGAGAATTAACTGCTAAACTTGTTCTCAAACAGTACTTTATATATTGTGTGTGTGGAGGGTACAAACTGTCGAAACCT